CCCCCCCCCAAACCTCCCCGCCCCGGCTGCCGGGGCTGCAGCCGGGCCCGATCCTCCAGCGGGAAATGCCGCAGAAAGCTCGTGTTTGTGTGTGTGTGGGGGGTTGGGTCCTGCCCTCGGCCCCTCTCTGCTGTGGGGGATGAGGAGGAGGCGAGGCCGGCCTTCCTCCCCGGGTTACCCCGCTCCGAAACGCCGACGGGAGGGTTTCGGCGAGGCGAGAGGGAGCCCGTGTTTGCGGGTCCCTGCGCTGCCTCGGAGCGGGGACGCACGGGCCACCGCTCCCCGGCCCAGGTGGCTGGAGTCAGTTTTGCAGCAGAACGGAAGGGCCAGAAACGAGCAGGGAGTTTAGAGGATTTTCCTCTCCACGGTCTCTAGTGAAGAATTTCGTTTAAATGGAGGCAGCGATGCCTTCCAGCCGGGAAATGCGGGCTCGGCTCAGCGCTGATACCGAATAAATAGCACCGTAAAAATATCGGGGGAAAGAGGGGCTAATTGTGGAGAGAACAACGAATAAAGAGGGAAGGCGAGGACGAGAAGAACCGCGCACTGAAAACAAAAATGGGCGACGGAGGAGGGAAAGCGGGTCTCCGAAAGCATCGCCTGGTTCCCGGCGAGTGCCCAGCCCCGGCCGCCGGGGACCATCCTGCTCTCCCTGGCGTTTATTTTTCCTGGTCGAAAACACCACTTTGGAGATCTCTAATTTTTCTTCCCTTCGTAGAAGGTAAAGCCGCTGTCCATAGTCGCTACTTTATTTTTTTTCCCCTGGACACCTGAATCGGTTGAAAACAATCTCTCCGGAAAAAAATAACAACCCAGAGATGGGGCTATTGCTGTCAGATCCCTGGAGAGAAAGGGGGCTTGGCTGCGGGAGGGGCTGGGATTGGGGGTGCCGCACGGAAGGGTCCCCCTTTTCCTTCCTCGCCTTGACACAACTTCTGCCGCCCTCGCTGCTCTCCATGACGTTGATGTAGTGAAAGCATTAGAAGTCGTAAGTCATTTCCCCCCCTCTCATCCTGGCCCCTAATTTCCTCATCTGCACCTTATCGGAGTCATTAGGGGCATTTAAGGAGCCGCGGAGCGTGGGGGCCCTGGACGGAGCCGGCCCGCGGGGAAGCGGCATTAGCGGCATTTCCGCGGCGAGCAGCGAGGCCCGGGGGTGCCGGGGACACCTGG